ATGTATTTAGCAGGCGCTTTTGTCCAAAGCGACTTACAAGTGATAATCGGCATATTGCCCTTGAGGCTAACAACAACAATAACAACAACAACATTGACATCAGTCATGGAGAGTAGGGAACAAGGAGTGGACAGTAGAGAGGGGGGACGGGTGCAGGGAGGGGTGCTAGTTAAGATGATGCTCTCTGAAGAGCAGGGTCTTCAGGAGTTTCTTGAAAATTGAAAAGAAAGCCACTGTTCTGGTAGTGCTTGGTAGGTCTTTCTACATTTGTGGAACGATGCATGAGAAGAGTCTGGATTGTCCTGAGCGTGGTGTAGGCACTGCTAGCCGACGATCCTGTAATGACCGGAGCGGCCGGGCCTGGACATAAGCCTTTGCAAGAGGATTCAGGTAGATGGGAGCCATACCATCTCGGACTTTGTATGCTAGTGTTAGCAATTTGAATTTGATGCGTGCTGCTAGCGGTTTATGTTTGTTCATTTAGGAGACGCTTTTATCCAAAGCGACTTACAATTTATAACCTATAGGGTATGCTGTGGTAGCCAGTGGAGCTCAATGAACAGAGGGGTGACGTGTGCTCTTTTTGGCTGATTGAAGGTTCTAATGTAATCTTTAAACGGGAGCTTGGTCAGTGGTTATTTGGTGTTATTTTCTTGGATTTGGCTGCTTAAGAAACAGTTAAACTCTGATCTTTAATTTCTACAGGCTCAGTGAATTTTAATAAACACAAGCACATAAAAACACTCTGCAGAGAGCCGACAAAATCATGGCTAAATTATTTTCTAGGGATGTCCCGTTCCATTATCGACATAGAAAGTAATTCGATATCGTCCCAAAAACACTATATTAGATTATACCGCATGAAAAATCTCCGACATAATCAGTCCGTTAAGGTTCACATTTTTGCAACCAGTGGTTAAAAACAGTTGTCATTTTTTCATACTTACTGTTATTGGCTCTTGTTCTCCGACTGAGTTAAATCACTTGATCAAGCCTTTCATACATTCCATACTATGAAATAGGTAAAAGTATGCATGATTTGTGCTGACATTGTAACGGATTGATATCGGTATCGGTCAATGCTGAAGGCTGCAATATCTGTATCGGAAGTGAAAAAGTTGTATCGAGACATCCCTATTACTGTCCAAATAACAACACTCCAGAAAAAATAAATGAATAAATAAATAAATAAATAAATAAATGAATAAATAAAAGATTTTTATGCTCCCTGAATTTCTGCTTGGACCTTTTCAAAGGGAATATTTCTTCATGTGGGTGGATCAAGTGAAAAAGTAAGTTTTATTGGTTTGTGTCTTAAACTAATCTATGAATGGTGTTAAAATATCATTTTGATTCTTATTCTAAAAAAGCATGAATGTTTTTATCATGGTAGAGGTTGATTTTGTCACATTTGTACTATTTTACGTTTTAATCACAACTCAACAGCACAACTCTGCCACCTGCCGACACAAATCAGTGCCTGCAGCCTCCTTAAAATGTGAACCTAGGCATTCCATAAAGACAACTTCTGCTGTAAATAATTGCCTATAAAGGTTGTTGTTAAGATATTTATTTACGAGGTTGCTCATCCAAACTCAACTGAAGGATCCTGTTTCAGGCCAGTGATTTTTTTCTTTCTTTTATCTTAATTGTATGACATTCCGATACTATTATATACCAGATGGGCATTTGTAGGCTCGTCACTGAATTTTTTCCTCCAGTTTCATTATTTTTTAAATGTAAACACTACATGAGGTCCTGTCATGGTCGTCCAAAAGAAAATCTCAAATTTTTAAAGTAAATGAGCTTAATTTGTCAATTACCATACAAATTACAGTCACTTCTACTATAGACTAGGCTTGGGGCGATAACAAATTTTGCTGGATGACATAGTGTCCAATAAATTATTGATGTTAAGCAATATTATTGTCAATATTATCGAGACCAAAACAACCACTTATGGAATGTTAATATATCCTAATAATGCAAGTGCACCCAATGCAACAATTCAACCTTTATTTAACATTGGTATGTCACGAATCAGAACTTCTAAATAAACAAATAAAAATAAATAAATGCTAATAAAATAATGAAGGACTGTCACTCTGTTCAAAATTTAGCACCAAAAATAAAACAGACCCTGTCTTTCCAAAACAATAAATACAATGGCCTATCCAGTTTCAACAACCAAAACTGCACTTCAATTATGATAATAAACAATAATAATAATAGAGTTGTACATTTTTTTAACCTCGATTTATTGAGGCTGGAACATTTTTTGAGTTAATTTTAATCAATCGTACGATTAATTGATTTATTGTTCATCGTCCCAGCCCTACTATAGACTAATATACCCTAATGAAATATTGCGGTTGGGAAATTATGATTTCTTGATTGCATTCAGCAGTTCTTCAAACCATGGCAAACCCTCAGTTGTGTCTGATGTCCCACAGATCTAACAGTAATATTAAAGAGCACAATGGGCATCAAGTTCCGAGGATTACATTTTAAGCCTTTTAATATAAATGTCACAATTTTAACCCAAAACAATCAAATAATGATAATTTGCAATCAATAAACTCAAATCAAAACAACTGATGCTACTGAATAAATAAAGATCAGCTGAATCCAAAGTATGTGAAGAGAATTGGTCTCTTAGAAAACCCCCACTAACAGCACATTTTTATTCATCAGCTACGGCAGTGCTCTGGGATTTTTGATCATCTCACCCAGCTTGACATTGCTCGCCCTTCAACACTCTGAGCTCATGAAATTGCCGTTTTTGACGTTTCTGCAAATGGACACAATGAGGACCGCGTTGCATGAGCTTCATCTCCTAATGTTGGAGTCACGCCGACACCAACTCTGATACCTTTTGAGTAGAGATGAAACAGTTACAGGATGTAATGGACACTGCTGCACGGACAATAGGGGTGTATATTCTGGCAATACGGTACTTCTCATAAAACAGGGGAGACAATATGATATAAGGGATTATAAACCCCTTCTTAAGACTGAATTTAATAAGAAAACTCAGGCCAGATGCTTCCAGTGTTATTGCAAGATCTTGTTCCATCAGAATGAAGGCAGTAAAAAGTGCTGCCATCTAGAAATCAGAGTTAGAATTGCACCAGACAAAAGAAACAGTAAATGTTTGCGAGTAAATTATCCACAAAAATGTATACGCTGCTTTTAAATATCACTTCTGTACCACAACATGAAATATCTTGATGCTCTTACATCCATACTGATTATTACTGTATTCTATGATCACCCTATGGCAAGAATGTATTTTAAATTTTATTTAAGTGTATAAAGAAGGTTCTTTCAGAATAAAGTCTCTCCATATGCACAAAGTGCAAAATAAAAGTCCATGTGAAGAGAAAGATATGGAACAAAAGAAGTTGGCTGCATGCTACAATGCACATTTTCCCTTCTGTGGTCCATAAAATAATCTTTCTATAAAATATTCTTCACATTCAGAATTAGGAGTGTTCATATACTGGATAGATTAGCTAAGACTATTTGTTTCAGCATGTCCAACTACCGTCTTTACTCGTTCCAACAAGCATCAATTGCACCAAACAGAGACAAAACACCCCTACCCCCCATGCATGCACACAATAGAAACCCTAGGCAAATGTCACTGCAGTAATTATTGGCCTATTGTCTGCTTATAAGACACAACAGACATGATGCTGCATGCATCATGTTTGCATCCTGCAGACTATAATCAGGTGATTTATTAATTCAGCAGGTGCTGAAAAACTTATTAAGAATTACCAACAAATCAGGGAAGATAATATTGTTATAATAATAACCATTACGGTATTATTATTAATTATTATTATTATTACACTTTACTTTGTAAGATACTTTTTATACATTTTAAAAGTATAGTGATTATATCATTAACTGAAATATTTACAATAGCCCTTTCTATGGTTACGTCTATAATTTGGAACCATTTTTCTGACATTCATTAACAAAAATGAAACTGGGCAACCACAGCAGCACACAGAACAGAACTATTCCCTGTTTCAGTCCACGGCAGCTCATCTGAAGTCCCTGTGCCCTGAAACAGCTGCTAGAAGAAGCAAAGAACAATCCTTTAAACAAGCCCAGCATTAATTGGAGCCCACACACGGACCCACTGCCTTTTTAATATCTACTTTGCTCCTCTGTTTGGAAACATCTGGGTTTCTTTGCCTGCTATGCTCTGCCTCTTGACTCTAGTGTTCAATGTTTTGTACAAATCTGTACACATGGAGCTGCAAATCCTGAAAGATGTGCAGCAGCATCTATTTCTGCAGATGCTCTGCAGGATGTGATTCGATTCCCTTTGTTGGGGAAAGATTTCAGCAGAAGCAAACACGCCACAGAGCAGCAACTTTAAACAATTATCAGGTGTAAGCTGCATGAAATGACTGCAAAATAATGATTTAACACATTGTACTAAGAAGAAAGTCTTTTTTTGTGTTACTAAAACAGTTTTAATCTGTTTATTATTGTCAAATGAAATGATTATGTCAACTGATTTATTTACAAAAAGCTGCTTCATGATGATTTTATCTTTTTTATTAGATTTTTGGGCATGCTTCATTTAAAAAAAAGTACACTATAAGATCATTTTGACACCAAACCCTGTTATTCGGTATTTTAAGTAGCTTTTATAATTAACTATTGCCTACAAAATAAAAGCTCTCGTGCATTTTTTAGGTTCCCATTAGAAAAAAATAGAAGCTGTTGCTTTTCATTACATTCATAAGAGAAAGTGTCAATAAATCACTAATACAATAATTTAATTAAGAAATATACTTTATTCAAGATGATTTCCTGTTAGTTTTTGCCCTAAAAAGGTTATGCAATTAAAACAAGCCCTGCTTTTTCCACAACTTGAACACCTCCGCGGATTGGTATGTCGAAACTGTCTTCCAAGCCGGAGACAGAAAATGTCCTCAGTGTGTCACCGAGCCGCTGAAGAAGCAGAGCAAACTTACAGCGATGGTTGCGACGCTTCCCCTTGTACATGGTCATAATGTACCGGTCCAGCTTGGCGCTCGTTCACGGACACCGGGCGACACGGAGAGATTCGGAGCTTCGACACGTTCAGAGCTGGAAATACAGTAAATTAGCTTCTCAGAGGCGCTTGTGGAGTTAGGACCGTACCATTTTTATAGACGGTGGAGACCGGGGGGTGCTGTCTCCACCATACGGACGGTACCATTCACATTGTTTATATTTGGGTAAGTAACCAGAAAAAAAAGATGCTGTACAGAAGCCGGGAAATGCCACGTCTAAATAAAAGCAAAAACTGTAGTTTTATTTTGATCCTTGGGCAGCGGTTGTTTTGAGCATGGTGTTGTGTTGGAATAAGTGTCCAAGTCACTGTTTCCCCACTCATGTTGGGGATATTTCACCCATTTGATGGGTGCTTTATTGTAAATGTTATGTTTATGTTTATTCATTTAGCAGACGCTTTTATCCAAAGCGACTTACAATTCATAACTTATAGGGCATGTTGTGATCTGTGGGGGAAACCGGAGTACCCGGAGGAAACCCACGCATGCATGGGGGGAACACGCAACTCCACGCAGAAAGGCCGTAGCCGAGCCGAGTTTCGAACCTGCAACCTTCGTGCTGCGAGGCAACAGTGCTAACCACTGCGCCACCATGCAGCTTCTGTTATAAAGAAGACACTTTCCAAAGAGCCTTCTTATTGGAAAATGAATGTTTATATCCATTAAGGACTTGAGCCAATAACAGCTAGTTGCAGCAGTCCATGCAATCTTCACTTTTTAAAACTTTAATTTGCTACAATTACATAGAAATCCACAATGCCTAGTCTAGCGACATTAAGAAAAAACAAATAAATTGTGGTCATGAATTACTAATCTGTGGCCACAATGTATTAATTTGTGAGAACAAGATATTTAATCCATGGCTAGTAATTAACTTGTGAGGGAAGTGTTCCAGAACTCGGCGTTCCAGAAAAGATCTCCCTAAAAAAGCCCCCAAATAGTTAACTTTTAGCTAATATTGGGTTTTCTCAAACGTTTACTGATCTTTCTTTTGAATAATACAACACATTTGTTTTCAAATCATCCTATTACACAGGTAATCGAGATGTTTACTTTCAGTACCATGGACAGCGGCACTGCATGCTGTGTCCTGCTACCATCTTCAATCACTTGACATGATTATTTTGTTGTTAGAATGCATTTGTCATCCTGTTTATGATCAAGCAAGCTGCATTTACGTGTTTTCTGGTAGTAACTTTGTTTTTGGTCGTGTGTTGTTAGTATTTCAGTTCCTTTTCTCATAGAAGTAAATGTTTTCCTGTTATAACCAATTTCAAAACGTGATAATTTCTAATTATAACTTAAATGGTTTCAAGGACTTCAAGATCATGTAAGGACTTACCTAATGGATGTACCACAAACAAACAAAAATCAACTCAAAAACAAAACAACTGCCTTCTAGTGGCAGGTTCTCGCATACAGATTAAGACCCACCCACTTTGTATATACACATTGGTAATTTTTCCTGATTAAGACATGAATAAAAAAATAAGATGGTCACTATTATATATATATATATATATATATATATATATATATATATATATATATATATATATATATATATATATATATATATACATATATATATATATATATAATATTTTTTTAATTTATTTTTTTTCACAGATTAAACGAATATTCTGCTAGAGGTGATTTAATAAAACATTCATGTATTGCTCAAGGTCTGGAAGTATGCCGCTCCCAGAACTCCTGTTTCTGTTGGTGTTGATGTCCTGCTGCTGCAGTAATGTGTTATTATTTATCATTTCACACCATCAATTGTTGTAAGACCAGTCTGATTATTATCCTACCCAAACAATGTCACTGGGACAAAAATAATATTTCATTCCCTCCTCTGGGTGCACCACAGAAAAGGCATATCTCATCTTACTTGCAAAGGTGGATTTGTGTTGCTAAGGAGACAAATATAGTGAATCAGAATGAATTTTGTGTAATTTATTCCACTATATTGCATTAGTGCAGTGTGGATAGAATATCAATCATTTTTTCTTCTTTAAAAAATAAATGTGTAGCAGAAGCAAACAACTGAAAAAGCCAAGGAAGTAGCAAGGATCCAATCAATACAGCTCCCCTATAAAACTGTTTCTGTCGCTACATGCACCTGAAAGAGAAATCGTCCTGCTAATTTTTCAGCTTTAAAGCTCAGAAAGATGGAATTCCCACAGCATGGATTCTGTGAACATGACCAAATCCAATAAATCACTGGAGATTTATTTACCGTTGGGGCGACGGTGGCACAGGAGTTAAGTGCTCGCCCCGTAATCGGAAGGTTGCAGGTTCGAGCCCCGCTCAGTCTGTCACTGTCGTTGTGTCCTTGAGCAAGGCACTTAACCCACGTTGCCTGCTGGTGGTGGTCGGAGGGACCGGTGGCGCCAGTGCTCGGCAGCCTCGCCTCTGTCACTGTGCCCCAGGGCAGCTGTGGCTATTATCGTAGTTCATCCCCACCAGTGTGTGAATGTGTGTGTGAATGGGTGAATGACTGATTGTGTTGTAAAGCGCCTTGGGGGGTTTCAAGAACTCTAGAAGGCGCTATATCAAATACAGGCCATTTACCATTTACCATGATTACACATTCATGCACTGGACTAAAGGTCATTAGTGGTAAATGTCAAGCTTTGGTTAAACTGATTATTCTTGTTTTAATTTATAATACATTGGAAAGTCATGTTGAATTCAGACAGGTTGGAATATGTCTGTGTTTATAAGTGTGGTGAGGACATCTGCTGTCCACGATAGTTCAATACAACACTGACAGAACAACGTGCTGAAGTTAGCTTCTGATTAGGATAGAAAGCAAATCTGCTTTTTCCACCTGGACCCTCTTTGACCTGCTTAGGTTGCAACACTACCATAGATTATTCTATAAAAAAGAAATACATTTTTATTCAATTAAAAAAAATATATATATCCTTTGAGGAAAATTCAAACACGTAGGGCTTTTTTAAATTTTTTTATTTTTCTAACTGGTTAAAAAAATCGACTGATATGCGGTTTTCTATTGCTGATACCGATGCTGATTTATACAGGTCATGGTCAGCCGATGATGGATAGTGCAGCCAATTTTTTAAGGCGGATTTTCATAGCCTACCATTTTTTTCTGGACTACAAGTCACACTTTTTTTCATAGTCTGGCCGGTCCTGCAACTTATACTCCGCAGCAACTTATATACCAAATTATGTAGGCTATACCGCACGGACCAGCCCCGGACCAGGAATGAGCTCCCCTGTCCCGCTGGGAATAAAAAACGCGCAGCCATCACCCGCTGGAGCCTGTTGCGCGCCGTTGCGCACTGGATCCAGCCCAGGTTTCAGCTCCTCTGCCCCGCCGTCACCTGCTGCAGCCTGTGGCACGCTGCTGCGGACCAACCCCGGACCAGGAATGAGCTCCCCTGTCCCGCTGGGAGGGTTTCAAACACTGCCATCCTCTGCTGGAGACTGTGGCGCGCTGTTGCGCCGCGTTGTTTATTCTGTCATTGTAATCTGTACTTGTCTTGCAATGGGAAATGCTTGGTCTCAGATTTTGTAAGAAAAATAATAAAATTTCCCCCCAAAATGCGACTTATAGTCCAGTGCGACTTATAAATGTTTTTTTCTTCTTCATTATGGCTGGTGCGACTTATACTCCGGAAAATATGGTATATATCGAGATGTTTGCCATCATATTTGCATGCTAATATGTCCCTAATAACAACAACGGATTCAAAACTTTCTAGATCTGAATTAGTTTTTCAACTCAGAATTTAACCAGATGTCAAATCTTCATTTTGTGCACTGCTCAGTTTTAAAAAGAAACATTAAACCAAATTGAATCAAACCGATCATCATACTTACCAAGTATTAAATAGAAAACAGGTGAATAAAAATAATTGTCAGTTGACAGACAGAGTATTTATTAAGCAGGTGTTTTTCAGCAGTGTCAACATACATTTAAATATGGCAGCAGCACCAGGCTGCCCATGGATGTGCTTGTTTTTAAATGCTAAAGAGGTAAATTGGTCGAAGCCAATATATAAAAAATGATAAATATTGGCCCGATATATCAACGGACCTATATATGAGCCCACTGATCTAGCAGCCCTATATATCATCTGGCCAATGTATTAATATATCGACTGACAGACACCACATTATAACAGTCCAATTTAAAATTAATGACATATTACATTTTCACATTCAAGTTTCATAGCTCACAAAGTTTCTGAATAGAATCATTTGATCCATGTTTGTAAAATTCTACTCATTTCTAAACAACACTGGTTCTAATGTTGTGCAAATGTGAATGAAACACTAAAATGACCTACAAATTTATTTTCATAAGTAGGATGAAGGTTTACCTGATCAGATATTGACTTTAATAAATGTAAATTTAATCATGAACAGTCTATTCTAAGTTAAGACAGCATAAGCTAAAAAAATAATCCACAGAAAAAAATTACTTTCTTGTACTTTTTTACAATTTAAAGAAACTTTTCATGAATCAAAAATAGAATTTTAATGAATTTATATTCAAAGTCGAATTCAAGGTCGAATAAATGACTCTAGGTTTGAACAATGCGTACTGTAGTTTATGAACTGTACCGATCCAAATGCAAATAAAAACACAAAAACATCATTTGTGTTGAATGTCAATAAATGTCAAATTAAAATAACTTGAAATAACATGTTATGCAGAAACGATTGAAGTAATTACGCATAACTGAACTGTACGATGGATTAGGGCTGGGTGATATGGCCTAAAATCAAAATCACTGTAAATTGAGGAGTTAGCCTCGATAACGATAACTACATGTTTGTGCAAAAACAAAAGTTGTCCACTGGATGGGGCTGTTATGTGAATTGCTTTGAATAACGTTGTCATGTGACTCGAGGTGATTCATCTTCTTAAAGGGACGTGAATTGTTGCCAACTCACACACATCTTTTCATTTTTTATTACCCAATTTATTGACATGCGGGAAAAAGGATATCAGTTAGAGTTAGACATTTTGATAACAGTAAGTGTCCGATTCATTGCTCAGCCCTACGACGGATTGAAACCGAGTCATAAAGATCTCTGTTGAATTGACACCAACCTGAGTCTAATCTGAAGTGTTTGACATGCTCGAACATCCCTGGCTGAGTTAAAGCCTTTTTTAAAGAATGAGCGTCATATTTGGGGGAGATGAAGGGAAGTGGGCGATGCCCTTGGGAGCAGATTTTCTCCATGATAGATGTAAGCTGCCTGAGCCTTCACATCACATTGGCCTGTGACTCAGAGCCTCTCTGAGCTCTTTTGACAGCCACAGCTTCTGGCACAGAGTAATCACAAACGCATCAACCGCTGCAGCCGTTTGCTCACATCGTGCCTACAGAGCCTGTGTTTGTTCAGATTTGTCACAGCTGCAGCCCGTCCCACTCAGGGAGATAAAAACACTCTGATACTCCCATGATCCTCTGCTTCATTGAGGTTTGTTTCTCTATCTGTGCATCCTTGTGATGATCCTCCTTTAATGACAGTCTAGATGTCACACAGAAAGTGTTAGCACCATTAGCACGTGGACAACAACAGGCGCTACAAACGTGCTGCTATAACATACTCTTTAAAACCCTCCAGTGTGAGTTTAAACCACTGGAAATGGCGCTGCAAGGAGTTTTAAGAAGCCTCAAAAGAAAATAGAAAGGGAAATTCTGCCCTCTAGTGGAAAACATACAGCATTACACATCAGCAGGATTCAGACATATAAATAAGAAATAAATCCATCATGCTTTCTCTGTGTTGTTCTTGTCTTTTGCTTAAAAAACTGAAGAAAGCAGCGAGGATTTTTAATGACAGCTTTTATAATAATTTATACACACACAATGTGTGTGTGTGTGTTTGAGAATTTAGCTGATTAGAATGTTACATCAATTCCAAAAAGAACTAAGCAACTCACTGCAGACGAACCACACCTGCACTAACTGATCTATATACATAAATGTGTTTCATAGTTTATTGGGATCCTCTGCTGTTAACTGAACCCACATGATGCTAAACATTCCTACAGATAAAACCTCATTAGGTTTATATCTAAGCTGCAGTCTAGATGATTCTTTTCATCTTGCTTCCTGTTTCCACTTAGCGTCTCTCTCTCTCTCTCTCTCTCTCTCTCTCTCTCTCTCTCTCTCTCTCTCTCTCTCTCTCTCTCTCTCTCTCTCTCTCTCTCTCTCTCTCTCTCTCTGTCTCTCTTCTTCTTCTTCCTTTCCTCTCTCACCATCTGCCGGGGTCAGTGGAGTGCAAAGAATCACATTAAGAAGTATTCA